CAGACAAGGCTGTGAACCCTCCCCAACCGAACGTTATCTGGCACTTGGTCTCAGTCAAAGCAGCTGGCAAAGGTGACCAATGCAGGCTCTTTTCCAACCCAATCACTGAGAGAGAAATCACCCCGGTGTCCCCAGTGGCGGAGGAAGGAGGACAGTGCACCATATCCAGGCTGGCAGTGCCTCCCTGCTCTGTCCACTCTCCACCCGGATAGGCAGATTTGTCTGGAAGCAGAGGGCTACCCAACCTCTCAGCCCCAACAGGCTCCTCAGCCTGTCCCACCCCCCTGCCCTGGCAAAGGAGCCAGTGTCTGCTCGGCTTGAGTTTGGAAACCTGCCGCCCCTGCACAGCAGGGGTAGCAGGGCGGTGAGGGGCCAGGGCCCATGTGGGGTTGGAGCCAGCAAAGGGCCTGCTCAGCTCTCTGGCCTGTTCCCCAAATCACCTGGAGACATCCACCCCGTGGAAGCCTCTGAAGAGCCACACGAGCCCCAGCTGCAGCCAAGGAGCTGTTTCTGGGGTACAGCACACGTGGCGTCAAGCTCCCACGGGGCAGGAGCCTCGCTCAGCCACCAGCCACACCCCCTGAATGGCCCTCTGTGGCTCAGAGTCCCAAATCCAGGACTGCAGGGGAGAAGCACCAGAATCCTTCAGGCTCACAATAAACTTGTAACTGCCGTCCATTCCCAGCCCCACAGCCTCACATGGGCAGATGGAAGTGTGACCAATCACATGCACGCCAGAGAACCACCAAACTGCCAGCATGGTCAGACTCCTGGGGGCACAAGCTGTCCTCAGTGCCAGCACGTGGGCCTAGCCCAGGAGACCCCGGCCACACTGGGTGATCCTGATCTTAGCTTTGCACTTGGCATGTGCCTGTCCTGGTGCCCCTATGCCTTTAGGAAACAATAAGAGACTTTTGGCCTCAACTCAGGCAAGAGAGCTTCTACCCAACAGCATGGCCTCCCCTGACCCTTCCTCACTTTTCCCCCAGTGGGGCTGGCTCAGGCTGGCCCTCTCACAGGACATGGAGATACTTCCCTGCCACACACAGAGCCCTCTCTCCTGCTCAAGGTCTGGCTCCCCGCAGCACCAGCTCCCTGTGGCAGGCTCCTCTCGGCTGGCCTCTGACCCCCGGCCTGCACTGTCTCTTCTCATAAGCATGGACCTGGAGGCCTGAAGGGGGGGCTGCTCCACGTGGCAGAACAACTCAATAGCCCTCCCTCTACGGCTCCCTCGGGGCTATGCCTGAGGGCGGTCACAGGGAGGTCCTCCAAGTCCAAACCAAAGCTTCCTGGGGATCCCTGTCCTGCTGGACCAGAATGCCATCACCTAGCAGCAAGGCTGGAACACAAGAAGCTATGAGGCCCGCTGGCCTCCTACACAGACCAGTGATCTGAAAACAAGAGTGAGATCACAACTTCTAAAAGCCATACATATGAGGTCAATGGGTGTGGTGGAAACTGCAGATGTGGGTACTCGTTCCAGGTCAACAACCCTAAGCTGCATGAGACCCCCTACAAGTCCAGATCATTCTCTGGACCTCGGTTCCCCCGCCAGGACTCAAAGGTGCTTTCAAATCTGTCTTCTCATCTGGGGGACAGAATCCCTGGGCATCTGGGACCCCTTGGGAACTGTGGGCGCCACAGGCTTCAGGAAGTGGCTGGTGACAGCTGTGCTTGGTGAGGCCCTCACTACCTCCTGGAACAGAATGTGGAAGCTCAAGTCACCAAGGAGTGCAGCTGTGCATCCTCCTGGAAGGACAGGACAGGGAGGGGACTTCACGAGCGGGGAAGCCTAAGAGGACCAGACACTTCACAGAGCATCTGGGCGGGGCTTCAGCCCACTCCTCAGCCCATGGTGCAGGCCATCTCCCTGTGGCTTGGCAGGGGTAATACATCCTCCTCCAAAGGGGTCAATACATCCTCCAAAGGCGTGTCAAAGAACTTCTTCCTGCAGCTGAGCCACTCTGGCCCGACAGCATGTCACAAACCCTCATAGGTCAGGGACATTTTCAGAGCACACTGGCCCCCAGTGACAACACAGGCCCAACTTCCACAGATTTGTCCCCTCGGGGAGAGCAAAGCCGCTCCCGCTCCCGGCCCAGATGTCCGCCCACACTAGGTATCTGGTCCAGCTGGCGGACTGATTTTAACAACTGCCCGAATCAAGGCTGCTCAACCGCACTCTCCTTCCTTAGGAAGCCACCCTTAGCTGACTTTGAGTCGCCCCAAACCCAGGGGCAGAGTCAGACCCAACAAGGAGCCACTGCAAACCCCGGCAGACTGGGGCACAGAGCAGGGGCTAGGTTTTGCAGCTCCCCTCACACACACACACCACATACTTGCCCTTCGACAGCAGCCCAGAGACCAGACTCTTCAAGACTCTGTGCCCAAAAGAAAGCACCCTGGAGGCAGAGAGGGCAAAGGAAGTGGGCCAGGTCTGCCCATGTGGCCCGCTGGAGAACCCAGCACTGAGCTGCCACCGGTGAGTGCACGGTGGTCTCACTACAGGTCTTGAGGAGGAGGAGGAGGAGAAAGGGAGCGATCAGCTCTCCAGGAAGAGGAGAGGGGTTAAAGCTAGCCCGGGGCTCTGGCCAGCTCCTTCCTCCCAGAATCGGTCTGCGGAACCCCGAGGAAGCCAGGCCCTGGGGCTCCCACACCCTGCACCCCACAGTGGGGCTGTGTTATGGGTACTCCAGGAAGAAGAGCCCCTAAGACCCATGGCACACCAATGCTAAGTTTCTGTATTTGATAGGGACTTTGGGGGGTCAGAACAGAAACAAATGTGAGCCTCACACTCCAACTCCCACTTTCTTCTGAGCGGGGAGAAGCCTACCCTGCTTCACCCAACCCTCCAAGTACCACCCAAGACTCAACCTGCCTCTCCTGGTTTCCTAACACATCTCATGCCACCTCGGCTCTGCTGATGTCCCCAGAGAGTCCCCTGCTTCCCAGGCCATGAGCCCCAGGGGGTGGGACCACGACATCCATTTCATACCCCTGGTGCCCAGCCCAGTGAGCTGGGAAGCGGATGGTGAATGGACAAATGGACGGCAAGATGAACAGAGGTGAGCTCGCTTCTCCTTCCCCCTCCCTCTGGGCACTGCGAGTTTGGTGCCCTGAGGAAGAGCTGATTTCTGAAGCCATTTCCCATTCTCCACACCCCCAAACCACCGCTGTCCCTCAGCCTGTCTCCCACATTTCCAGGTTCA